CACACACACACACACCAACACACACACACCCACACCCACACACACACACACACACACCAACACACACACACACACACCCACACACACACACACACACACACACCATCACACACACACACACACACATACCAACACACACACTGGGCGAGGACGAAACGTCATGAAGTGAAGAACAGCCTCTGAGAGTTCAGCTGAGTTACAATTAGCAACATAAAGGTGTTTAATGACTTCACCTGCCTCACTCCTTCACCTCCTGACACCCAAATGCAAAAAGATTATTTTAATTAAGAAACATCAAATCATTAAAAATATATATTTTATCAACTAATCTTTCTGCTTTGTTTGTTTGCAGATTATAAAGTTGTAAAAATGATGAGGTCAAAGTTTCTTGAATTGTCAAACGTTCTGTGGAACGTTCTGTCCAATGTTCTAGAACTGCTCCGCTCCAGGTGTCTGCATGTTGGAGCAGCTCTGTTACTTTCATTCTGAGATTTTGCTTTTGGAAACTTTAATTCCTCTTTTTCTGGATGTAAATCACATTTTTTGGATGATTGTTTCCTCTGGTATCAGATGCTGTGCAGCTGGAAGGATTTTTACTGAAACTTTTTTAGCTTTGGACATTTGTTATGATGCATAACCATGGCAACAAGGCAGTTTTCTACAACCAACAGCTGATTAACATCTCAAAAGCTCAAATAATATCTCAACTACAGCCCCAAATCTCAAATGAGTTGAAAAGTATGTTCTGTGGACGCATTCTCATCTACCTGCCAGCTGTGCTCGAGTGCCTGACCACTGAGATCCTGGAACTAGCAGGAAACACGGCTCATGACAGCAGAAGGACAGGATCGTCCCTCAGCACCTACAGTTGGCTGTCCGCAGCGACGAGGAGCTCGGCAGACTGCTGGGAGGAGTGGCCATCGCTCTGGGAGGAGTTCTGCTCTGCATTCAGGCGCTCCTACAGCCCGGGGGAACCGAGAGGGCAGCAGAGACTGGGTGGACGGATCGGACGGCATCTGCCGACAGTTTCTTAGGATCCACTGTGGGATGGACCTTTACAAGAGATCCTTCCTGTCTACAGCATCAGCATCTATAACATCTCTTAATGAAATGAGGATAACGAGTTACAACAACAAATAATTTCCCTCTGGGATTAATAAAAGTTTTTTTTTTTTTTATGTTCGGTCGAATGTTCTATTTCAACAGAGGAGCAGACGTTCAGCTGGACTGAAGGTTGTGACCTGGCCCGTCTGAGGCGTTCGGTGGAGGTCCAGTCCGTGGTGACGGTCCGTGGTTACCAGCATAATAAAATGAAGCCTGACTGTCTCTCAGGCAAACACACCCTCGAGAATAAATCACATTTCCCTCCCCTGAAACGAATCAGTGGGTCTGAAGCAAATGAAAATATAAGTCACGGCATCACGGAGGAATATTTCCTGCACGCCTGCAGGTCGCTAACAGAAAATATTCATTGTTCTGTGCACGGGAGGCTGAAGGAGGCGAACCACCGACTTGTCCCACACCTGACACACCCACACTGCCAGCGAACGACAGAAAAACACAGGAGGAGGAAACACAAGCAAAAGAGGATAAATGTGTTAAATAATTAAATGAGGCGATGGGAAGGAGCGAACAAGTTATTAGAAAATGTTACGTGACTAATAGATCATGAAAAACACAACGGGATAGGAAGAGCGTAAGAGCCTGACAAGCTGGTGTGAATAAAGAAATAACGACTCAGAGGAAATAAGAGAAGACAGAACTTTATGATGTCATCAGGACAGTTTCTTTTGGGACAAACGTTTCGTCTTTCAACTGAAACACTTCCTCAGTCTGAGGTCCGCCACCAACACGTCTTATAAATATCACCTCTGTTCGATGCCCTGAGACAACCTCTGCTGTGACTTGGAGCTTTATAAATAAAATGAATTGAATGTTTTCAGACTGGTGACGCAAAAATCATTCATTGATCTTATTTTGAAATTGAAATCTGATGAAACATCTCCTGCTCTGCAGGTTTCAGTTTCTAAACCCTGAATTCAAACACCGGCCTGATTTCTGACACAAGCTCGTCTTTTAGGACCTGAGGCCGGTTGAAGAACAGCGACCTTCGACTGTGTCCGTTTAATAAATGTTCCGTTCGTTACTCAGCACGTCTGTTCTGTGTGTGGGGTGTGCTCACCTCGTATTCCTCCTTGAATCCGTATCCCTGCCCACATTTCATCTGCGTGATGTGCTGCAGCAGGTCGGCGACTCGGATGGCGGGCTGGAACTGTCCGGCCTGGAACTGCCCTGCAGGAAGGAGCAGCAACGTTTCAAACACGAGCAGCTGCAGATTATCTGAGCAGAGTTAAATATTAAATACACAGGACGCGAGCGCTGACGAGGAGAACCAAACACGAAGACAGAGACAAGAAAGACTCGACTTCAGTCTAAAACGGTCATTAAATGTTTCAATAACTTTCTTCCTGCTGAAGTTTTAAAAGATCCAAGTCACGCATCTAAAAGCAGCTTTCAAACAGATGAAACAGGAATAATCCGACTGTTCATCACTTTCTGCTTTAAATGTTTTATCTTTTCTCCTAACGAGCCTCAACATGTAAAAATGCTGCGTCATGAAAATGATAATATGTAAAAACTGCTGAGTCGGCAGAAGGTTTGAAATGTAGAAGAGACGCAGAAGTTTCACCGAGGACGAGCTCATGTCAAAAACCTTCAGCTGCGGCAGCGTCCCCGTTGTAAAACGACTCGCTTCATTCAACTTCCATTTATCTGTTTTTATTTTACTTTTATCCATTTTTAATTTTTAATATAAATATATAGATTACATAAAAAAAGAACAAAAACTCAAAATGACTGCTTGAAACTTTGAACACTAAAAACGACACTTTAGCTAATTAAAAATAAAACTTAATTTTAGATAAATATACCCCCAAGTTCTCGATCATCCTTTAAAATATAAAATCATCCCACTGAGCTAAAATACGTGTTCCTTGTTAAATCAACAAAAAGCACATTTCCAGGTTTCATCAGTGCAAATCTACATATAAATATTAAATAAATGGGTCGTATTTGCTAAACTGCAAATTAAAAGTACTCACTACAAAATATAAAAGTAAAGCTAACAAAGAAGAGCGTGAGTTAAATCAAAAAGTGACGTTTAATAGAGTTGACTCCAGCAGTTTGACCGTTTCATTGATTTGAATCAGTCCAAGTGCAACTTCGAGTCACGCCGCTCTTCTACATCAGCTGGCTGTAGTCTGCGTCAGTAAACAACGTTTGGTACAAATATTTTATTTAAGAACACGTTGACCGGTGAGATTAGAAACTGCTTATTGTTCTATTTGTTCCAAATGTCGAGTCAATGACGAGTTTTTTATTTATTCAGCTTGTCCAAAATCAAAATGCTGCATTCACGACCTAACTACCTGAAACTCCAACCACCAAAATGACATCAGACTAAAACAAGTTTATTTAATTTGTACGGCAGTATATGATTTAATGTCTTTAATGACATTATTTTATTATAAGCACACGTGTGCGCTGCCTCTGCCCCGTCACAGTTTCCAAAATTTAATTTCAGAAAGTTGTCGACTCTATTTCTAACTGTTCATTTGAACAAGCAGCCTGTTGATCTGGAAAGCAACTAGAAAAATAAATTAAAATAAATACTTTAGGGTAATGAAGCAGCACGTTAGCTTGCTGAACACGCCTCTTGGTAGAAGGCTGAGCATGATTTACTCCCTGAGAAGATAACTCGATGAATGCTTGAACTTAGGCCTTACTTTTAGTTGCGAGTGTCTAACTAGCAGACTAGGTGTGTGCACGTACCGCTCTGGTAGGAGATCTCCACCGACTCACAGCCTCCGTAGGGAAAGCTCTGCAGGGTGAGGGAGGGCTGGGCGAGCGAGGGCTGGCTGCTGTCTGTAACAGAAAACGTCGAGAGCCGTCAGCACGGCAGCCGACACCGTCACCCACTCAGGAGCACACTCTAAAATAAGGAGACTGTTTCTTTAACACACCTGATGGGAGCTAAACTAACCTGGTTAACCCAACCAGTTAACCTGAGCACATCATGTCATGTTTGAACATGTTCCAAGTCAAACTGCAAACCTCTGAGTCTCCAGCACACAACCCAGATCTTTCACAAACTTTTTGCAACACTTTGGAGACTCGGTCTCAAACATTGTTTGCTCGAAGAAGCAGCCTGGCGACACACCTCGAACAAAATGGACTTTTATACATAAACTATGTTCATTCTGCTTAAAGTAACTCCACATGTCACTTCCATCCATCACCCATTATCTTTACCAGCTTCTCCCTGTTCAGGTCGCGGTGGTCACTGGTTCCCGTGTGTGTGTGTGTGTGTGTGTGGGGGGGGGGGGGGGGTACGTGGACTGGTCTCCAGTCCATCACAGGGACACCTGAACAGGTCTCTCACCTAGGGACAATTTCGAGTCACCGTCAGTCTAACATGCATGTGTTTGGTCTGTGGGAGGAAACTGGAGTACCTGGAGAAAACCCACGCAGCACAGAGAGAACATGCAAACTCCACCCAGAAAGGCCAGGCAGGGATTTGAACCAGCGACCTGCTGCTGAGAGACAGCCACCGTGCTCCACATTTATTCAAATGTTATCGTGCGTCGTAATTATTTATTTACAGAATTCCTACAAAACAGGTGGACAGCTACATGATGAGAAAAAACTGTCAAAATCGACTAAATCAAAGAACAAACGCAGGAGAATAAACGTCTGTTTAACTTGTATTGTTGCTACTTTGTTCCTATAGTTTGAAAGTTTTCAGATCTTTTACATATTCTTTTTTTAAAGCCATGAGTGACAGATTCAGTGACCAGTGCTGGAGTTAAGGGAGACCTTTGGAAACCCTGACTTGAAAACACATAAAGTTCTTTCTCTTCCCAACGAGCAGAAGTTCTGCTGCGGGTCCGGTTCCAAAGCACAAACAGGCGTCCTGCTCCTCACAGCAACTTCTAACATGGACATAAACTACAGTCGTCCCTCGTTTGTCGCGGGGGGTCCGTGCCCTGAACACCCACGATAAGTGAAAAACTGAGAAGTAGGAAAAGAAGTACAAGTAGTAGCTAGTAGTTTATTTTATTTTACTATATATATATATATATATATATATATATATATATATATATATATAGGGCATTTTAACTCTTACCACACTTACAATTTCCTAAACAATGTTTCTAAATTCTCTAAAAGAGACAGAATGTCATGATCTCAGCTTCCTGCCTCCTCTACTCTTTGCCACCTGCAAGCGCTATTGGCCACGCCCACTTCTCCCGATGCACGGTGAACAGCTGATCAGCTGCAGCAGGAAGTTTATCCTGCAGTAAGGGCTGCATAAAGCTGCGGGAGGTGCTAAATCATTTAAAATATTTTAAATACAAATTTCATGACAATCATGCAGCTCATCCATCAGTCAGTGCGTCATGTCCAATCTCATTTTGAAAAACCGCGATGGATCGAATCTGCGAGAAACGAACTATGAAGCAGCGAGGGGCCACTGTAGTCTCCTCACAGAGGAGTTGGCCACACTGGTAGTTTACAAGATTATGAATGTTTGTTTTCCAGGTTTTTCATTGTGGCTTTACTGAACATCTGTCTGTGCACTGATGAGGTTTTATAATTTCTGACAGCATCAAAGATAAACTCTTGTGTGCACGTGTCAGCAGAACAAAAGAAGAGTTGTTAAATAAGAAGCATGACGTCAGGATTCCCTCATAGAGCTGGTCGCACGTTGATGAAAGCTGTTAATTAATGTCTTCTCCAGAACGCTGGTCCAAACACGGACTCGTCTTCACACCTGGAAGGGGAACGGGTCATGTGGGTCGACGCAGCTCCTACGGTGTGAAACAACAAGACTGGCCTTACGAGGACAGAAGCAAACCCCAGGCAGATCCTGCAAGGTGAGCAGAGGGAAAGGAAAAGGCGAAACAAAGAAACGTCTTCCAGTTTAAAAGTTAAAGAGATAAATCAGAGAAACGTGACAGAAGAGGGGAAGAGACCTGGACTAGAGAGAAAAGTGTGGAGCAAAGAGAGACAGAAGAACTTTGTGCTCACTGACGCAACAACTCCCGTCGCCTCATCACAATCTGAACTTTTCCTCACTCTCCATAAACTCTGCATGAAATGATTAGTTCACGTTTCGTCTCCAGCCTTTTCTAAAAACAGCCGGTACAAAATTAATCTATTCAATCATGTCCAAGTCAGAAGGTCAGACTTTTAGATTGTTCCTCAGGATGAAAGTCCGAGTCAGAAATATTCAATAAATTAAACTGCCCATCATGTTTTCTTCTTTTTGCCACATTTGAATAATTTTGCACTTGATAACACGTTTGTTTGTGTGAAACCCTGTGAAACATTGTTCTCAGTTTTCTTGGATCAAAGAAAGTCTGTCTGGTTCTACTGGTCTGTGCCTCGCACACCGTTCTATGGTTGATTCAGCAGACCACACTCAGAAACCTCCTCTGCAGAGTTCATAACTCTGTGTCCGTTCCATAACCTACCAAAACCATTTGTGTCAAACTCGGACACTTTCTGAAGAATTCAGAATGCAGGAAACATTTCCTCTGTTCCTTCCTGAACATTTCCTCTCTTCTGAATGTGCTCAAACGTTGAATGTAATAAAAACTATAAATTAGAGAAACGTTTAGTCAACAACACATGGAAATATGAGACCACCAAAACCTCATTTACCATCAGGGTTTAATCTAGAAGAAAGAAGAAGAAAGATACTGACTATAAGGAACCAGAGTGAGTTCCAGAGGACCTGCACAACAAACACCACGTGTGAAGTTTGGAGCAACATCACAGTTTCCCTGAAACTCTCGTTTGCCTCAGATAAGCTCTTTTTACAGACATTTTGTAAAAGTCTCAGTTGCTCAAAGGGACACGGTTTAAGCAGAAACGCTGCGTGTTGTACTGCACAACTTTTAGTTGTGCGTTTAGTTTCTTCTTAAAGTGAGACAGAAGGTTTCAATAAGACGAAACATTCAAGAGTTCAACTAAAACAGACGAGCAAAAATAAATGCATAAACTTCAGATCTGCAAACGCCCCGAGGGTTCAAGAAGCCTCCTGCAGGAGCCGGTGTGTGAGTGTGTGTGTGTGTGAGTGTGTGTGTGTGGTGGTGTGTGTGTGTGTGGGTGTGTGTGAGTGTGTGTGTGACAGTGTGTGTGAGAGTGTGTGTGAGTGTGTGTGTGGGTGTGTGTGGGTGTGTGGGTAGGGGGGTGGGGGTGGGCTGAATGCATAAAATTCAGTTCGTCTGTAGCACATCGATGTACTTGTCTAAGTCTGAATAATACACACGGGTGTGTGTATTCAGAGTGCTCACTGTGTGTGTGTGTGTGTGTGTGTGTGTGTGTGTGTGTGTGTGCACGATAAACTAACCAAGGTCAAATATGGATGAAGCCAGGCATGAAATGGAGTCATAGCAGTAGCTCCACAACACTGACTATGATGAAGACATCTCAATGCTAATGGGGAGATTTATTGACCCTACAGGCACAAGTGAGTGTGTCTGTGTGTGTGTGTCTGTGTGTGTGTGTGTGTGTGTTTGTCAGACAGACATGAAGACAGTGCTGACGGTGCCTAGCTGGTGTGTGTTGCCTCTGAAAGTGAGAGGAATTGGTTCAGCAAGAAAGTGTGTGTGTTGTGAGGCTGTATGTGTTGAGGTTGTGTGTGTTGTGAGGCTGTGTGTGTTGTGAGGTTGTGTGTGTTGTGAGGCTGTATGTGTTGAGGTTGTGTGTGTTGTGAGGCTGTATGTGTTGAGGTTGTGTGTGTTGTGAGGCTGTATGTGTTGAGGTTGTGTGTGTTGTGAGGCTGTATGTGTTGAGGTTGTGTATGTTGTGAGGTTGTGTGTGTTG